CTGGGCAAAAATATTCGGCTACACTATAATGAATGATGAAAACCAAGGCCGAACCTTCAAAAAAAGTAGAGGCGCAAGTTACATCGACTTGACCCTGGCTAAAAAAATCATTGTGTATGGATGGAGTATCAAGCAGGACAGGGAAACACTCAGTGGACATAAATACATCACGTGCAAAATAAGGACCTACCAAAAACACAGATTCAAGAGAATATATGAACCACCAACTGGGACAACTTTAACAACCAGTTCGATGAGGCAGCACAGGGACAGGCCTGAGGACAAAAAAACAATTAAACAGCTAGAGCAAAAAGCCAGCAAACTGCAAAAAATCTGCAGTAACTGTTGCAAACTTCACATACATACAAAATTGGCAGACGAAGAGACTGAAGACTGGTGGAACAACGGTCTGCAGAGAGTTAGACAAAAAACGAGAAAAATTAGGAAGCAGTGGCAGAGAGAACGTGACCAGGATGGGAAGCGAGTACTGCTAGAGCAACTCAGATCCCAGACACTATGGTATAAGAGGGCCATACAGGAAGCCAAGCTTCAGGTTATACAGGAGAGAGTGGTGGACCTGGCGAACAATGAACCTTGGCACCGACTTTGGCGCTTCTTGCGAAAGAGGAGGAGATAAGGCACCAGCCAACATACAACGAGACGATGGTACTTATACAAGAAGCGAGGACAAGACCAACGAGTTCTTGCTGAACAAGTACCTTCCAGAGTACAACTCCGAACTAGACAACGCTATTAGAGGGAAAACCAGGGAGGTAAATGCTACAACAGAATGGAGACAGAGATTAACCGGAGAGAGGCGGAAGAAGCCTAAAACCCAAAAAGGCGACTAGCTCTGACAGAATACGCAATGAAGCAATGGTCACATATTCGCGACCCTAACGAACATAATATGTGGCATTTACAGAGACTGCCTAAAGCTCGGGTACTTCCCCAAAGTATGGAAGGGCGCGAATATAATATAGATCCCGAAAAAATATGATAAATTAGGACCGATTAGCCTTCTACCGACCTTGGGCAAGTTATTGGACACAATACTAAACAAGAGATTGCAGGAACACTAAGAACACGCAAACTGGAACAGTGGAAGTGCTGAGAAACGCTTGCGTCTGATGGACAACAACAAGGCCCAAGGTCTACACTAGTCATTTGCCTGGATCTGAAAAACGCATTCAACTCGGCATTGTTCCCCAACGTAAGTGAAGAATTGGAAGCTGCCAGGTAATCTAAGACGAATTTGCGAGAGTTTCATGTTGGAGAGGACGGTGAGAACAGGCAAAATCACCAGAAATATGACAAGAGGTTGTAGGCAGGGGTCAAGCCTCGGCTCAACATTTTGGCTGACGGTGATGGCTTCGCTGCATCGACGAAGCAAGCGAGAGTTTGAGAAGGACAAACCTAGATGGCCTGGCAGAAACACGGGCCTATGCGGACGATCATCTCAGGCTCACTAGCGAGAATGGAACAGTACGTCAAGTACCTCGGAATAACCATAGGATCGCAAAGAAACTACATAGAGCACACGAGAACCGTCAGTGTCAAGGTCTCAAAAGCGGCTATGAATATTACAGGAATGCTCAGTCGAAAGTGGGCCAGAGCAGAATGGTGATCAGAGAGATTCTCGATAAAGTTCTGTGTTAGGGCATTTTCATCAGGAACATTCGAACACATTTATTCCATCTCAGAGCAGTATCGTTAAGAACATTCGAACACATTTTGTCGGCATGCTGTGCGTGAACCTTGAGAGTGACTTTTGATTTCTGACAGATAAATAATGTCAACATTGTCAATATGATTGAAAATTATTGATCCATCGAAGCTAGGCTAAAAAAAAGCAACACAATATTTTTTGTATCGTAATTTTGCTTTTTTTGCATCAAATAATTAATTACGAAGTTCCTAGAGTTTCAATTTCGATAAAGTATCGGCCCCAACATTCTGGAACCGGCCGTTCTATATGCAAGCGACATTTGGGGAGACAGCCTTTGGGAGGAGGCATATGGATGCAGCGGCCAGACCAATGCTGCTAATGACCTGCAGAGCCTACGCCACTACGCCCAACAGCGCACGACAAGTCTTGGCGGGTTTCCCCCACTGTGGCTCGAAGCGGATGAAGGGTGACAGGACTGGAAGACAAAATATCGGGACATGGAGAATCAAAGAGCGCGCCATTGGACCGATATTCATAAGCCTAGAAAACTAAACCATCAGACAAAAAGTGAGAGCCTGGGATATCGTCACCGCGGACAAAGCGAAGATGATGGCAATATTGAAAGGGTCGCAGGCGGGAACCCAGATACCAGATGCAAACTTTCTGATAATGACGGAGGGGAGGTAGGCGTTCGACCGTCTCAACAATGGACCCATCAGAGACAGGCTAACCGCACATATACTAAGAATGACGGAGGAACATATCGACCATGGAATGAGTATAAAATAACAATGGAAAAAAGGGCACTGTTATACAAACCCAAGGAACAAGGAAGCCGACAAACCGAGCTAGGGGAAAGAAGAAATTGCAGGGGACCTGGAAGAATACAGCAAGGAAAGTAGATAACAGCGCAAAGCCGAGAGGTGCAGGAGGACCTTGGAGAATTGGCAAAGGATATACGATAATGAGAGTAAAGGCAGTGAATTTTACAAACATTGTAAGGAGGTCTGATATGAGAGAATTGACCTTCAAAGCCAACCCAACTACTCACGGGTTACGGCAAGTTTGAGAAGTACGCATCCCGGTTCAAGCTCTGCCAAACGACAGAGATATGTACCATCGTCACCAAAAGTAACTGGGACAGCATCACATTAGCTCTTGTCCTATCATATGAATTTTATTGTCAAATATTTGTCTATGAATTAAATGCATTGAAATGAATGACAGTAGAATTAGTCCAGGAGATTATTATGCATTATTTGTGTCCCAGATACTTTTGGTGACGATGGTACCTGTAATCACAATCTGATGCAGGACTCGCAGCATGTCAGAGAGTTCTGTAGTCTCGACGAAAGTCGAGCGATTAGGAACCAGAATATGGCCGAGTACGAAGATCTTTTGATCACCCTGAGATATGACAACAGGATATTGATAGAACAGACACTTAAAATAAACAAATGGGCAGACGTGGCAGTGAAAGACAAAGACAGGCAGAATAGGACTAAGCGGCAAAGGAACCAGAGCAAACAAACCAGTTCCAGAGACTTCCCCAGAATGGGAAACTAGCAGAAACATTCGCAAACAAAATAATACGAACATTAGATTGTATAATAGCGTATCGAAAGCTAACGAGAAATGTAAGATTGTAACCCTAAGATATACAAATATAAGAAAAAAAAAGGAAAGAGGGGCACTCCCGCTATATGACCATGGTTGGCGATGGGTTGTCGGGGTCTCTCGTTGCTGAGACAGGGTTTCCTTGACAGTGATTTTCTTATTTAGTGGATTTGCACACCGATTTGGGCATCCGGACCTGAAGCTGAAAGGCATATGGCATGATTTTTCGATTGTCGGAGAATGAAGCCTTCCCGAGGCCTCACTGTTGCTACCTAAACTCATTTTACGAGCTTCTCTTGGGACATTTAAACATATCTTTAATGCAGTAGTCTTCCATTTGCTTTTTGCATCCTCATGCCGTTGACCAGATCGGTTTATCCGCCTTTAGGACAAGAGAGTGCCTTGACTCTTGTTAACTCCTCCACCCGAAGCTGTTGGTTGACAAGAGCTTTGGTATTGCTTATACGGGCATGATTTCGGTTCCTTTTAACGCAGGATATATGTTGCGAGATATTCTAATCCGCTCCCACGCGGTTTGAAATAGAAGCAGGTAAAAAAACAAAGCATAGTTTAGATTCTAAATATGAAAGTTCCTCTATAATTCGGCCAATATTTTTGTGTGTAATTTTAATTTCTAAATTTAAAACATTATTTTCTACCTTAAATTTAATTTTTTTTAGAGGATTAACTGCAGATCCATTTTTAAAATCAATATTTTTTTTTCTTCAAATTTACATTCTCTACAATTAAGTTGCTATATTATATAATTTTTGTTACGAATATCATCTTGCACCTTTTTAACTTTTGAATTTTCACCCAATTTATAACATCCTCGAAAAATTTCAAGCATTTTTGGATCATAAAAACACAATTTCTATGAATATATCTCAAAACGGATCAATCTTATTGTCAACTAGCTGCTTCGGAAAGGAGGACCCGGTATTCAACCTTATTAATTTAATTGCCGATTCGATCGGATGTTTATTGCAATTCAGCAATAAATTGATTTAATTAGTTGGCCAAACCAAGCAACAGGTAGACTTAAACCAGTGCAACTACCTCTCGTTGGGAAAGTCCCTCTGGAATTAGGTCTCTCCAGTGCAAGTACCTCTCGTTGGGAAAGCTCCTCTGGGTATCTTCAGCCTTATCGTTGTCCAGCGCAATTACCTCTCGTTGGGAAAGCCCCTCTGGACAAGGCATAAGGGTGACGATAATCGACAAATCCTCAAGCAGCGTTGACATGTGGCTCCCTATAAGGACCCAAGTGTTCGAAGGGTCATGCATCTTATAGGACTAGTGTATATGTAAGGGCATATTTGGGAAAATATATATCTACACTTTTATATAATTTGAGCGAGTTTCTCTCCATCGACTCCCAAAGCTACAAACCCCCGTAAAGCGGGCAGTTGTGACATTATCCTGTTTTGTTTTTTTTTTTTCAAATTTATTAATTATATTAATATAAATATACTAGTTCTAACTGAAGAAGCAATAAAAATTATGCGGAAGCTTTTATGGAATAATTTTTCTGATAATAAAGATTGGCTGTATTCCCACATTCCCCACTATTAAATTAATTTATGGACTCGTATTTCCTGATATATTTTCACTACCAATTTGATAAAAAAAATCAACATTCTCACTTCTTTCTAGCATCTAAAAGTATGACTTATCAAAACAAAAAATTGAAATCGTAAATATGTCTAAAACTTACCTCTTCGAGTGCGGCATAACTCCGTACGGGTCCATTATCGTGCATGTTTACTATGGGATTCCCAGAGATATTCAACCATCCGAGTCCCAGTAGGGTGATTTCAGATAAAGCAGCGTTCGGCATATGCTGGAATCGATTCCCCGAAAGGTCGACTCGCCTCAGGAGATGCGAATTGCGAAAAAAATTCGCCGGCAACGTTGACAATTTATTGCCGCCCAAATCGACCGACAAAAGTTGATTTAAGTTTGTCGAACTGAATCCCGTCAATCCGGATATGGAATTATAACCGAAATTGAGATATTTCAAGTTTGGCATGCCGTTTAGTTGATAAACTTCCAGAGTATTGAGATTGTTGTGCGCCAGCGATAAAGTTTCCATTGTTGATATGTTTGAAAGGGCTAAATATGGTAGTTGACTTAATTGATTAAAATTCAATTTAAGCTCTTTTAAAATATTCAATTGAGCAAATATTGGGGGAGGTAGTTCTTTTAAAAAATTCCCACTCAAATCTATTTGTATTAAGTTTTTATTTTTTCTGAATACTCCTCCGTGTAAATTGCCAATAGTGCAATTTTCAAGAGAAATCACTTGCAGAGAAGGTAAATTATTTAAAGCCTTGTCATCTAAATTGCTCAAGTTATTATAGGCCAAGTTCAAAACTCTCAATCCGGGAATGTCTAGATTTGAAAGATCGTGGACGGATAATTCATTGTTAGCCAGGCTTAAGTGGTTGAGATTATTCAGGCTGCGAAAAGCGTCCTGCTCGATCTTGGAAATAGAACAGTTAACCAAACTGAGTATCCTAATCGGTAATCCTTCCTGGAAAATCGAATTGTGTAAAACTTTCAGAGGATTAAACGACAAATCCAGCTTTCTTAGCTTTTTCAGATTTACTAGTGCCTTGCCTTCTATCTTTCCGATGAAGTTTTGAGACAGATTGAGCTCTTCCAATTCGTGCAGTTCCGCAAAAGTTTTCGAAGTAATTTGGTTTATATGATTTAGATTTAAATCTAGAAATCTCAATAAGCTCATTGATTGAAAGGCTTTATCTTCTATTTCACATATGCTATTATTATTTAAATACAATTTTTGAATTAGTGCTAAGTCTTTGAAAATAACTTTTTTTATTTCTTTCAGCCGATTATGTCCTAGATACATCATTTGTACATTAGAAAGTCCTTTAAAAGTATTATTGTTTATTATCGTAATTACATTAAAATCCAACTGTAAAGATACTAAAGCGGTCGAATTCTGCGGAAAGACGTCAGCTAAATATGCAATTAAATTACCCTGTAGATTTATGTGCTGTAAACTTTGTAGCGTAGAAAAGGCAGTCTCATCAACTGAAGTTATTTCATTGTGTTGTAAATGTAGTTCTAACAATTCGGGCAATGGATTGAATATGCCTTTGTGTATAGACTGAATTCTATTATTGTGCAGTCTAATCTCTCTCAGAGCGAGTGTTCTCTCGAAAGTACCTGGCTCTAAATCAACTAGCCAGTTGCTGTCGAGACTCAGGGAGGTTAAATTATAATTATAACTGAATATTTCGCGTGGCAAATAAGAAATGAAATTCGAACTTAAATGTAATTGTGTTAAATTTGTTAACGTTGAAAATGCTTTCGGATCTATTCGAGATATGGCGTTGTCCTGCATAAATATCACTAATAAATTTGTCGACTCACTAAACGCATCTTGTTTAATTTCCAAAATATTATTTTCACTTAAGAAGACTTCTTTGAGGTCAGGTAAAAATGCGAATACTCCGTTAATATAGTGCAAGTGATTATGACTTAAATCAATTGTACGAATTTTTTTGTTACTTCTAAAAGTCTTTGGATCTAAATAAACAATCTTATTATGACTCAAATCGAGACTTTCCAAGTCTCGTAACATTATAAATGTTTCTTCGTGAACTTTTTCAATCACATTGTAGTATAACGACAACGTTCTTATGGCCAGGCATATTTTAAAAGTGTCCCGATTCACGAATTGGAAATTATTAAAACTAAGATCTAAAAAAAGGAGCGAATTCAAATGAGAGAATGTATCACTAGACATAACACTGATGTCGTTGAAGGATAACCGCAGGTGGCGTAGCTGTTCCAGGCGTCGTAGTGCATTCATCGGAAAGGATTGTAATTTGTTTTCTGACATGTCCAAATCTGAAATTGTTGCTTCGAGTCCGGCGAATGAATAGTCGGTCGCCTGAAACGAACAATAGTAGAATATTAATAGTTTTATTATTATGTAGGTACTTCATCAACTTATATATATACAGAGTGTAGGGTAATATGGAAGACAATTTTCCTAGAAGATAAAATAATGAATCATTTCCATGGTGAATAAAATATACTAGTGAAATTGTAACATTTGAAATGTCACAACAATATATTTATCGTTCTTAATTATTTCTATATATTTTGGATTCATTTAAAAATACTATTTCGTACACCTAGCGACATATATGATTCTTCTGACTAGTTTTCCTAACCTAATACCAAAAGTTCTGTTATTAAGGTTATTTCCGAGAAACCTGCAGCGCTGTCATTTTTATGATTTCGACAAGCCTGACAGATTAAGAAAGAAAAGACAGAACTACTTTGGGTAGTTTCGACGAGCTTTTCTATTTTGTCATGGGACCGAAAATGTCGTCCAAATTTTTAATCTTAAAAATCTTAAAATTTTGTCTTTATATTTAGCCATCGAGCCCATAGTTCTGTCAATTGACTAGCCAGAGGAGTGACTAATCGTGTCAGCTAGAACGTTTCTTGGAAAATCGACCGATTGTTGATTTTGTGAAAATTTTGGAAAGTGAGGTTACTATCGGCCGTAGAGGTATGTAAATCCCTTTTTCTCTCTGATGAATGAGTCCTTATATTTCTTCAATTCATTCAGGCAACTTTGAACAGGATGAAAAATCCTTGACTGCACTTATCCAAGTGAAAATTGACCAATTTGAGTCCATGCTGTTCGGCATCTCAATCTCATTATTTGGTTACCTCCAGCCAATTTGGTACTTCCAGATCTCAAATTTGTGAAAACTTCCAAGGACTCCGTCCAGGCTTGTATAATTATTTACCTATGGGTCCCGTAAATGTGCCATATTAATTACCGTTACTTATTACTATCTTTTTTCTATTGCCTCCTATCGTTTAGCTTCATTAGCTAATTAATATCTTTGTAAAATCATTTACCGACTCGTTTACCATATAGTAGTATTTAGCTATAATAGCTGCTAACTACTGATTAAATATAATTATTAATTTAATTATAGTTATGTATACACCAAGTGAGTTAAATGAATGTTTATTCATGAGAAGAAAGTTTATTTTTTTCGAATAAATAAACATTTTAACTCATGTGATGTATACAAAATTTTATCCCATTTTGTGGAAATTTGAAAAATAAAGTACAAGGAAAGATGCCGAGAGTGAGTTAAAAATATTTTAAATCACTGAGGTGTCATATTTTCGATTGAGCAGAATGACTTAAAATGCCGAGAGTGAGTAAAAAAATCTTTTAATGGTGCTAAACGTCTACTTACCTTTATTGTTATGCGTTCAATAATGTCATTTTTAAACGTCAAAATGGGATAAATTAATTAATCATTATCATAATCAGATATTTACCTTCATTAACGTTTTCTTTATCATTATCTAGTATTCTAGTATCTAATAATTATGGGTTATTATAATTATTACAAATTTATTTCTTTCATATCGAGTACCGATAGATATAATATATAGTGGATTCATTAACCTTTAGAGGTTAATTTAACCTTCAATTTCAAATCAATAAGGTGGTAGTTTTACAAGGTAAACCAATGTAAAATCTTTAGGTAGTTAAAGTTGAGTTTTATGTTTGCATATGTTGAATTTTAATTATAGGTAAGACGGTAGAGCTCTCCCCGATATCCTTAATTTCAGGTTTCTGATATTTATAACTCCCTAGGGATTATTTATTACCTATCTGCATTTATAAATTTGTATTTTATTGATTTGATTGACTTTGAGTCAAAGAATTAAAGATTAATAGTATTATGACTTCAGCATCTATACTTAGGTAAATTCCATCGTGGGTATCTATTTAATTGTTTTCGAATTTCAATCCTTTAATATACTTATTTAAATTAAGTTTGGCTTTTGGAAAGTTGCTTAATTTTATATAAAAAATTTGGATACTGAACAATATTCTTCTTTGAACTATTGAACAACCAGTTCACCATTCTGTCAAGAAATTTTTAATGAACAAGTTCGACATTTAATTAATAAATTATTGTTTTTAGAATTCCAACTTGTCTTTTTATTGAATGGGTTAAATGTCAGATAGCTATTAGATTTATTTTCCTTTTCAGATTTTTGCATTTATCTTTTTAAACAATAACTAATTATTGGAATAGTGTCTAGTTTGGCTATTCTTTGGTAATCAAAATAATTTATACAAACTAGTGGCGCCCTCTCTTTACTGTACCAACACCAAGTACCACCCCAAGCTGAACAACCACTGAGCATAGTCGAGCACAAATTATGAGCATTCTTTTGTTACGACAAAAGAGCGTTACAAAATGCAACACAATTTGTTTTCTATGATTTGAAGACGAATTGGAGCTTTTCAATCATTCCGCAACACGTTAAATGTAAATGACAATCAATTGTTGATGAAAATTTATGTTTAGAATAAATCACAATTACTGACAATACAATTGCAGTGACACCATCTTTACAATAACATTGAATGCATGAATCACTTCCTAAACTATTAAAAGGTTTAACTGGATTTTGATAACTGACTGAATCTTACACACTATCAATGCTAATAATCAAAATTTGCAAACTTCTTTCATTCATGCAAGAATTATTTGCCAATGTACCAGTTCGTTTTTGTGGAACATCGTCAAGCATGAAATTTTTATCCCATATGATAGCTAATGGAAGGTCCGCTCCTTTGAATAACAATAATTATGTCTAGTCTATAATACCTAAGCGGTACCATGAGCGAAAGACATTAAGTGACGATTAAACCTCTGTTTGAACAGGTTAAAGTTGAATCGTTCTGGAAACGAAGTAGGAGGCAGGAAGTTCCAGAGGTGGGCACTAGGACATCAAAAAGAAGCCCTATATTTAGATGTTCTCGGTTCTCGGGGTAGCTCACTTTACCACATACGAATGGGATGCCTGTGGGGCTCTTAGGATTCTCAAATGAGTTCTGCTAACTGGAATGGGGCTGTCCAAGTCGTCAGAACCTATCTCATGGTAATAGCGATAGAATAATGACAACTCGACCACCTTGCGTCTATGTTCGAGAGATTGCAGTGAATCGGTCAGAGCTGGGTTTCTTGTTATATTTAACAGATCTATTAGAGGTCTTTCTTGCAGTGCATTGAAAGGATAACACACTTGACTAACCTACAGTTTCTTTATTGAAAAGTTACAAAGAAAAATGAAAATAATAAGTACTTCTTTCTAGAAAAACATTCAGATCAACTCAAAACCGGAAACAACTACCACTCAAGTTAGGTTAGGCTGTCACTCCCTATTGTGACACCCAATTCTTGCTGAATGGCATTAGCTACTAGATCTTCTTCTTCATAAATTTTTGCGGTATTATCTTCTTTGATTATTGTCATCTCCTTATTTGTCAAGACTCCTTCAGAAATAAGATTCTTTCTCAGTTCTGGGATAAAAAGTATCGGGTGTTTCACGTAAGGAGGTAACCGGCTATATCTTAGAAACGAATAACACTAGAACTTTGAAGCGACCAAGAGAAATTGCTGGAAATTATTTTCAAGTTTGTAGGATATCCGCTAGGGGTCGCAACTGTAATGTTAAAAGATTAAGCTCCCCCCACCACTTTATTTAACATCAGACAAAAATTTATACCTGTGCTCTTTTGTTCAGAAAGTATTAAAGATTAAAATGGTGATATTAATTGACGTACCTAACCAGATATTTTTTCGAAAAAATTTTATTTTCATCTTTCGATATTACAACTACGACCTTTAGCTGCCATCCTACAAACTTGAAAATAATTTCCAGCAATTTCTTTTGGCCTCTTTTATCAATAATTTCTTTTTCTCCAAAGTTCTAGTGTTATTAAGTTTCTGGGATATAGCCGATTATTTCCTTAGGTGAAACACCCGGTACATGCTGCTTGTCACTTTTTTACACAACTTGAGTTAGGGTATGAAGATGTTATGGCGGTTATCTCAAAAATGGTCCAATATCCGTTTGGCCCCTTTTTGCTCTACAGAGGCAATATTTAAGAAAGCATCATTTGTATTATGGAATAACCACTTAAATTTGCAAATGCTTCAAATGTAGTATAGAAAAACTAATTTAATTTAAGAAAGCAGCATATGAATTTTTGAAAAACGAATTTATTTATCTTTCCTTTTATTTCCCAACAGACTTAACGCTTATTACAGGGAAAAAAATAAATAAAAATAAAGAAATTTAACAACCATAATAATTGTATAAAAAAAAATAATAATAATAATTTGATTCAAAGAAAGTCTAGTAATTAAAGTATGATAAAAATACTTTTATATATTAAAAACAATATTATTAAATAGTCAGTTAAATTGGAGAAAATGTTTTTTAATATATATTTTAAACAAATGCAAAGGTTTTATATTTTTGATGTTGTATAATAAAAAAAAATTGCCAATATTGGTTCTGAATTGTAATACTTTTAAATTTTCATTTTTTCGAGTTGCATAATTATAGAAATTTTCATTCTTTTGGAAGTTCAAATTTGATATTTTGTTTTTTGTTAGCAATGCGTAAATAAATAGTGAAATTTTCAATTTATTTAACTTATGTTAGCTCAGATAACCAAGGGGTTTATATAAATTAGTAGTTGGATCTAGATACGGAACTTTATGAATGCATTTGATAATTTTATTTTGTAGTTTTTAAATTGGTTTCAAGACTGAGTCATTTTCAGATCCCCATATCGAAACCAGATATTGAATTTTTGAGTGAAATAATGCATAGTAAATGTTTTTCAAATATTTTAAAGAAATGTAGTACCTTACTTTATATAATACGCCAACTAAAGGAGATAAACTTTGTAACATGTTGTTTATACAGGGCTTTCATTCCAAAACTTGCCATCCACATTATTTGCCTAAAGAGGCATATTTGCGGAAATCGCCGAAACACGTCAACAAATTTACTGAGGAGAAAGGTTTTTTACGTAAAACT